TTTTTTTTTTTTTTTTTTTTTTTTTTATTATTATTATTAAAACACAGCTGTTCCTCTTTTCTTCTCAGATGGTGCATCCTGCTCATGCTGTTAATGAAAAAGCTCTGTGATTATATTATGAGTTTTCTCTGAGCAGAGCTTACACAAAACTTACACTCTCCATGGAGGTGTTGGGCTCTTTTGGAATATATGCATTTGCGTGAACCCTGATTAGAGCTGTCAACAGATGGCAGGCTCTCAGTCAACTGTGTTACTTTCTGGCTTGATGTAATTGTGTACTGTGGTAAAGGAGCACTGATGTTCAGGCCTCTGTTCTACTGGGAAGGGAGGGAAGTGCACCCAGATTTACTTAAAAATATCTTTAGCAGAACTGGTAAGCTTGGCTAACAAATGAACATAGCTGCTGAACCTGGTGGGGTCCGTTTTCTTGACACTTGCCCCGGGAGTGGGTTAGGCGTGGCAGGTGAGAGGATTTTCTCATTAGGAGAGAAGTTTCCTTCTATTGAAAAAGCTAATTCAGGAAGAAGGTGATGTGAACATGAGGTGCAGCTGCCAAAACTCCTCTGCCTTCTTTTTAGGTGAGATTTATCACAGTGGTCAGATTAAATTTACAGGACAAGTGAGTAAGATAGTGTGTCTGACAGCAGCTTTCCAGTATCTGCTATGAAAGAACTCCAAGAGATGTGTAGACTGTGCTGATTAGAGCCTTCCTCTGATGGTTTAATGCTTTAAACTGAACCCAGCATCGTCTGGATTTCTTCTGAGGAGGAGAATTTGGCTTGGCCTGGCAAAGACAATGCTTCTGTGGCTCAAGTCCTCTTTTCATTGTGTGGATCCCATTCCAGGTCTTGCTGGTGACCCGCAGACCATAATGACTCATAACCATGCTACATTTGGGGAAGTTTTAACTGATTTAGCTGCTGGCACTATGTTTTTGTGTGGTACTTGCCCTAGATTATCATGGACTGTTATGGTGGTGTTACAGGTATCTGTAAATCTTTTTTTTTTTTTTTTTTAAATGTAACATCACTCTTAGTCCTAGATAACAGGATAACAACCCAAATTAATTAAGCTTTTCCACTGAGAAACTGAGCTATAAAGAGGTTGTCACACATCCAGGATCTGAAAGGAAATAAAACCTGGACCAGAATCAAGAACTTTTGCCTCCTGTTCCTAGGTCGTAACCACCAGAGCAGTCTGCCTTTCTGTGCATGCACATGTGTGCGTGTGTGAATGAATGTGATCGTTTTTTCATAGGCAATTCTAAAGTGCTAACAAGTTGTAGGCCAGGGATGTGAAACAGCTGACCCCTTTGTACTTCTGTTCATGCAATATTCAGATTCTGGGGTACCTAAACTTCTGTTGAAAATTCCTGATTTGTGAGGCTACCCTTGAATGCATGACCAGAATAATCTGGCAGGTGGCATGTTGTTGGATTTGTCTGCAACTTCAAATAGCCAAGAGGGGTGAGTTTCCTTTGCTCCCATTCTCTTGCTGGAGTGCTCATTTTCCAGCCTATTGACAATGCTTCAAATGTTTGGTTGCATATCATTTCAGTGGTGGAATGGAGAAAGGGTGGGAGTGAAACCAGTGGAAAGTAGGACATGAGCAGTGCAGCAGGGAAGGAACTGCACAGCTAAAAAACAGCAGAGAAACAGGAAGAAGGATGGGAAAGGAAGAGAAACAAAGGACAAGAATTAGTGGAGTTCCTCAAGGTGAGCATGTTTTCTAGTCAGTTATGGTAAGGTACACAACGAGCCTTTAAATGTGTAGCGAAGATGTGAGGCATGCCATGGTGGGGGAAGGGAAGTATCAAGTCCTACGTTTGGACCTCTGCTTAAAAACCATAGTTACAGGCAGAACTTGACTCTCCCCAAAGAAGACGTGCCATGATTTAGGCTGTATCTCAAGTTGTGACATGTTTTTCACCACATGTGCTCAAAAACATACTGTGTGAAGGTTGTGGACTGAGGCATGTGTGTGAATGCCATGCTTCCCTAGTTGTAAATATTAGTGCACAGAGCCCCCTTCAGGTGTAAAGGCTTCACTGTATATAGGGCATGGAGAAGATTGCCAGTCATCCTCATTGCTTTGCAAATGATGGGTTTGGATTCTGCAGTCCTTATCCGCTCCCCTCAGACTTGAAAGGGCTTTGGTGTATCCCGCCTACTACAGATATAACAACCTGTAGCAAAGGACTTGAATTGGCAGCAGTGTGAAACCTGCAGTTAATGACTTGGATGTTTGCAGCCAGTATCCCAGTCCTAGCCTATTGAGTTCAGAGCTGGATTTGCCCTGATACCATTTCAGTGCTTTCTGTAGGATATTTGTAAACAGCATCAGCCAATAGAATTTTTTGGAAATCTGTGAAGAGCTGATTTTGAAGTGCCCAGGGCTCCATTCCTAAAGTGTATTCTGCGCTGCTAAGAAGAGAGCAAGAAAACATCACTTGGATCCAATCTTTATTTTCAGATGTGTGTCTGTAGTGCTGCATGTAATCCCTTCACTCCGTGACTTCAGTATTTAATCCCTTTTCCCTGAACAAATAGGTGCCTCTTACAGCAAGGGGGGGGAGGATGATGGTGACTGATGTGTGGATGCAACTAGGCAGTGTTTTCATTATCCAGTTAATCTCTATCTATCATCATGTATTCAATAAACAGCCACACTCCCCTTGCTGCTTGCCTGCTCACAGGAAGAAATTTTATCTTAGTCAGTTGATTATGGTAAAGGCTGAATGACTCATTGCACTGTGATCCTGTCAGCCCTTTCAGGGTTATTCAAACAATGGGAATGATCAGCCAGAGAGATGAAATGTTTAATGCTCTAGATTGCCAGGGTCATCAATTTAGCATTCGTGTCTCTGCAGCAGTGCCGAGGGCCAGCTTTCAGATCAGACTAGTGGTTTACAACAATGTAGCAGATGAGCATTGGGTGACAATGATGCACACGCTGTTTTGAATTCTGTCAAGTTATGTTCAGAGCATACCTGAATCCCCTCCATCACCGGTTTTATGATGGAACTTTCCCTATTAGACTGCGGTGAGAACACTGCACAGATTGATCCGGGTTGTGCCGTAACCTTAAGGAAATGCTCACTAGTTGCTTATGATGAGATTGTAGTAATGATCTTGCTTTTTATCCAGTATGTAATTACTACTGGTGTTTGGAGTCATGCTTATTCTTCCTTCTCTTGTAGTTCACCTTTCTGACTTTCACACTACAGATTGTACCCGATTTTATACTTCACACTACAGCCTGTCTCATTCTACATACTCCACACAACAGATTGTTCTCTTGTTTCCCCTTTACTGTTTGGATATCTTCACCCTTCCACAGGCCAGACCTCCCCCACTGCAACTAGTCTGCTCAGAAAGCCGGGGGGAAAAATCCCCCAGTCTTCCTGGTTTCTTTGTAAACTAAAGTATGACTTTGCAAGTATTATTAGCAGAAGCCTTTTTTTTTAGCAATTTCCCTGAACTTGTGGTCAGCACTGGTCCTCTGGCCAGGACAGCAAACAAGTATGTCTTGCCCTCAGTCACTTCTGCTCCAGCAGTTACTTATTAGGAGATGGTATGCAGCATCTGTCTGGCCTTTCCTCAGAGCAGGGGGTCAGACTCTTCCCAAACAGTCCCCGTGTTCAGGCATATCAACCTTATGCACTCTGCAGAATGACATGTTGGCGTGTATTTATTTCCAGAGTATCTTTAAGGGGGAATAAAATGCTAATTCTGATCTTTAGCTTACCAACCATCAGGAACTGCATGGGGGAGTTAAGCTGATAATGCACAGTTCTACATTTGGCACCATCCAGGTCTCCAAACCAGAAGCCAGGTGATGGAGATCAGGTGATACTGCAGCCTGAAACATTTTATGCTATCAGGATGAATATGCTAATACTGTTTGTCTTCATCCTGCTCATGTGACAGACCCAGTTTAGAACCAGGATTTATAACATTTCTTACACTCATCAAACTGCGTTCTTTGAGGACTAATATCCTGGTTTATTGTAGTCAGAGAAGACAAAGCGAGCAGTTAATCTGTTGCAGCTCTTGGGCTTTTCTTTGGGGAATTGCACACAAAGACATTGAAAATTAGAGGGGATGAGCAAAGGACTGAGATGAGGTGTTTCAGCTGCTAACTGGCATTTGTGCAGCTGCTGGGAGGAGTGTCATGGTGCCAGGTTTCAAAAGCCTGTTTGGGAAACACATGTATGGAACAGCTTGTTGTTGATGTGCTTTGTGCACTTGCTTTCTGGACTGTTTCTGTAAATGTGCCTCTGCGTTTAAGTTAGAGCTAAAGGCTGGAGGAGCCAGTATGCTCAAGTGCTTATAACAGAGCTCTGGTCTTTGAAATGTACTAGTAGTTTGTTTCTGTATTATTGCATTATGCCTGAGCCTTTTGCAGGTATTTAAATATGGGAACTCAGGAGGTAATCATCCATTTTAAAGAATTCAACTGGACAGTTTAGGAGAGGGGAACAGCAACTTTTCCCAAGAGATTTATCATCAACAAGTGCCTTAAAGACTAAGCAGCTTTTCTGGCATAACCAGTAGCGTGTTTAGGATTTGACTGTTTGCATTCTGATCACTGCAGGAGCTAGATGCAAAACCATCTAATGCTAATGTGCTTCCCTGATAAGAAGATTAGGGCCAGTCCAGTGATGCAGGAACAAACAGAAAGCTCATCTGTAGGCAATCCAAAGTATGGGAGCAACCTGCGGGAAGATTTTCTTGCAGGGCTTATCTCAGCCTTGGGAGGCTGACTCAGTGCTTGATATTTTTCTAGCACTCTCTATTTGGCTATCAGCGAGAAGTGTTGCTGCTTTTCCATTTTCATGGGTACAGCTGAAATGGTGACCATTAGTAACAGAAATGTGAGGAAAATATTAGGAGAAAAAAATTAATCATTTCTGACTGCCTCTTAGTGATTGGTATAATGAACTTGGTTGTTGTACATTAATCATCTGAAGATCACATTAAAGCTGTCTATGCAACTGATTTTCAAAATTAAGACATTGGAATAGCTGAAAGAAGCTGTATTTCTTAGTCCATAGGTATAAGAATGCAGAATGGGTAGGATTTTCAAATGTGACTAATTTAGGAGCACAAGTGCCACTGTCTTAACTCAGGGCCAGGTTTTTAAAAGGTATTCAGGCATGTTAAGGCTCCTGAATAACTTTGAAAATCTGATCTTTGAGATTTTGAAAAGCATGTTGTATGTATGCCAAGTACAACACAAAATAGCAATTCCTATTGTTGCAGTGTAAAGTGGGGTGAAGATGTGTATTGTATTCGTAAAACCTTCTCGGAATACCAATTGTAGAACCACTGCGTCTAATTCACAGGCCCCATTAAAAGAGCCCCGAAGAGAAGACTATATTGTTAATGCCTTAAGTTGGGTAGTATAAACTATTGTCTTATGCTTTTGAAGGAAGGGGTTTTTAAAGATAGATGACTAATAGTCATTTGGTCCTTGTCAAATGACACTCTTGTTTTTTTTTCCATAGATCCATCCTGTTATTGATGAAGTCTTCTCTTTTTCTGAAGTTCCAAAGGCTTTTCTGAAAGTGGAACAAGGCCACGCACGTGGAAAAATAGTGATCAATGTATTGAATAAAATATAATGTCCCTCGGAGCCATGTTGTTCTGTTTGTAATTTGTTCCATCTGGTGTATGATACTGGAACATAAAATTGCTGGGAGTTAAGTAGCTGCTTCTTGTAAATGCATCTCAAATGATTTAAAAACTTCTTAGCCTCACTGCCTCTGAGCAGCAGGTGAGAGGTGTGGGGGGGGGGTATATTTTGTTTTTTAAACTGTGTAATTTAATATGAAATTTACCAGTATAAAGAAGCCCTGTCTTCAAGTCCATTCTTCACCAGTTGTTGGATTTGAGAAAAAAAATGCTAATGCTCTTTTTGGACCAAGTCATTTACAGAAGTGTTGGGAAGAACTGTTGACTGCACAGACTGCCAAAAACTAATGCTGATAGAACAGTTAAATTGATAGCTGTTACTAGGTGCCTGTAGTTATACTTCTGTATAACTGAATGGTCCTAGGAGACTAAGGGGAGGGGACTGTACCCCCTCAGACACATCAGGAAAGTGAAACCAGGTCTCTTACTTACAGGGCAACTGCATAACCATTAGGTTATGGTATAAAGGTGGGTACTATCACTTTTTTTTCTTCCTCTTCCTACAGTCATGGTTAAAAAAGGGCAGGAATAGGAGGGGGCCTTGTTTCCTCCTTCAGAAAAATGGCAGTAGCCATCTGCCTTCAGCAGAGAGCTTCAGGCTCTGACTCCCAAGTGAGCAGAAGTGCCTCGCAGCAGAACTAGAGCTCAGCAGCGGAGAGATGGGATTTCTCACATAGCTATGTGATTTAGTGTTGTGTACTGATTAGTTCTGAGTGACTCTATTCAGCATGGAGGTGTCTGACTTGCTGTTCTGAGGTGCTTAACTCTACCTGGCATGGTATGGTGAGCCAAGGCTCTTTATCCCAGGTTTTGGATTCTGCTCTGGGAGACAGGCACCAAATACTTAAAAGACAAAGGGTTTGAATTATAGCTACTGTGAGAAGGTTGACCTTTCCCTGCCCCCCTCCCCCAAATCACACTCAAAGATTAATGGACTCTTAACACTGTACCCATGCCTCTATCACCAAGACTCACTTACCACCAGTTGCTTCAATGACTTAACTAGGAACTCCAAGGAATAAAAATTCTAGTTGTCACAATCCTAAGTATTCTGCTGTATAAACTTTCATTTCATCAGACTTCCTATTTCTCTCCTTATCCCATAGCCACTGTCATATGGATTTTTCTGTATTTGTTGCAGAACATCTTTAATTGCCCTTACTAAAATTCAATACATTCTCTTTCCCTTTAGTCTTACTTTGTCAACCATACTAATTCATGTTTTATCCCTAGAAGGCTTATTTTTGCAGCTTGTTGCCTTGCTGACTATAGTCAAGCCTGGATAGTTCTACCACATAATGGCTGCCCTATAAGTTGGCTCAAAGAGAAGGAATTAGAATCATGGAAAAACAGGGTGGGAAGAGACCTCAGGAAGTCATCTAGTCTATCTCTTTTCTCAAAGCAGACCCATCCCCACCTATAGCATCCTAGCCAAGGCTTTGTCTGTCTGTGCATGTCTACACATTGCTGTGCTTTAGTATTTCCTTTTGGAAGTAGTAAAGCATGATGCAGCATGCATGTGGTGTACAGTTAGATTCCACTGCTATGTCACCATAGTGGTAAGCTATATCAGGGGAGCATGCTATTACAGCAACATAGCTGGTAATTGCATGTAGACCCACATGATTACTACATTGCCATAACGCACTGTATGGCAATGTAGTGTGTTGCTAGGTTGTCATAGAGCAACATGTAGACTCACCCTCTGTGTCTTAAAGACCTCTAATGATTAAGATTCCATAACCTCTCTGGATGTCTTGTGCTAGTGTTTTACTACCCTCCTAGAGAGAGAGAGATTTTCCTAATCTCTAACCCCAACTTCCCTTGCAACTTGCTTGAGACCATTTCTCCTTGTTCTGTCATCTGCCACTACTGAGAACAGTCCAGCTCCATCTTCTTTGTAACCACACTTCAGGGTGCTTTCAGATGTAATCTGTACCATCCATCTACCTTATAGTAGGCATAAATCATCTGCTGATGTCTAGGGATTGGTAGAACAGTAGTAAAAGTCATTCAGTGCTTAAATTACTGATTCAATTGGAAATAGATCCAGAGTGCCCAAAAGTCATGCTTGATCGATCTATACTGCAAAGTTCTGCTGACTCTTACATCCTTACCAACACAGGAAAGTCAGGTTTTTTTCACTTTAACAACTCTAGCCAAGACAGCTAAGCTAGTACAACCCCAGGGATGGTGCAGTTATAGTGACAAGAGTGCTTCTGTCAGCTTGTATTATTTAGGGAGTTGGTGTAACTCCACTTAGCAAGTCCTGCCATCCTCTTCCTCCTTCCCCTGCTGGTATATGCGCTCTTTCCACCAGGGGACTCTGCTGTAAGACATGTCCATAGTCCTCTCTAAATACCATATTTTCTTGCATACAGCATGCCCCCAAATAAAACTGTACCTTTTTTTTTTTCTTCACTGCCTTTCAAAAACATCTTCCTTTGAGAGCCTCTGCTGGGGGGAAGAGAGCCCCCTCTGCAGTTTTACTTTTGCTTTCCCAAGACAGAAATTGCTGTTACCATATTTCCTCACTTACAAAGTGCATCCTAACTTCCAGCAGCTGATTTTTGGGGGAAAGGTGGATGCTGCATACAAGAAAATGACAACTTGATCTTAATACAATTTGGAGCAGAGAAACATCCATGTAAAAGAAGCTGCTACACTTCCCCAACCACTATCATCTACCAAAATAGGCAATAACCTAGGAAAGCTTATCCTCCTCTGAACTATTTAGTCTGTAAGGTGCCACTTTATGCCTATACATTCACCATTAGCATTCATTTGGTAAAGGAATAATGGACTGAATAAGGCACAAAACTGAGTAGTCATTAATAGAGTTAAGGCACAACATCTGGGCAGTATGCAGTGTTCCTGCTTGAACTGAATCTCTTCTACATGTAGAGTGGATTTGTATATACATTCTTGTAAAGAAGCAGATTTACCACATTCAGATTTATTTGTCAAATATCTACATAGCATAATATCAATACAACACTTAGGCATGGAAGTTGGCTAGGAGTATTGCTAGTCTACAAAGTACTAAAAACAGTGTTTTACAGTATGTACCATAGTGCAGCTTTATTTTAGAGCAACAGTCTACCTGAATTTTAATTATTACAGTTGTCTGTACAAACATCATTCATGGAGCGTTGAAGGCACTGACTTCCTCATAGGTTGAGAGAAAATATGTTTTAAAATCTTATGTCCAGTGAGGCAGCACATACAGCAAAGGAAAGCATTATATTCTAAGACAAAGTCTAAAGCACCCCCTGAGGCTCCTAGGAGCAGTTTTTAATAATACTGGGCAAAACCTGAACGAAATACAATCAGCACAATAAAGGATTACATTCACTTTTTGCTATTCTGCCACTGTCATGAAATAAACAAAGGGGGTGGGAGGACTCAACAATTTTAACACTGGGCCAAGTGAGATGGTGAGCAACAGGATGGCCTATTAGAGTTAATTAATATTCCTCAGTTGTCTCTGCCCTTTTCTTGGAACAAGCTCTTTGCTAAGTCAGTGTTTTCTAACCGTAACTATAAAGGGCAGGCCTGGGACTGCAGAGTTGTGATTGCTAATGTATCAGAGTTCTTTCATGGCACCCTGGTCTGCATACGTCCAAGTTTTCTTTCCTACCTCTATAATCAGCCTTTGTGCTGGTTCATGAGAACTGCTCCGATATTCAGTTCGGTGCGGACCCTGCCCTACCTCAGCTGCACCTCAGGTAGCTGGAGCATACCAAGCTCCACAGGTTAAAATGTAAATAAATAAGGCTGGGAACAGAAAGACAGTGTTGGCAGAGGTCTGGAATGACTGAGCTGAGTTTCTTTTAAAATAATTCATTTAAATTTATCCTTAAATTAAAAAAAATGGGGGCTGGGGAGAAAGGGTATTTGAAATTAAAGAGTTTCTGAGTCTAGTGAGAGTGCACTTATTAGAATTACCCTCAAGTCTGAAAATTTAAGACTAGCAGAGAAGTAC